TCATCACCGCCGTCATCACCCGGTGATGACACCGCCATCACCCCCCCCCCCTCTTCCCCCTTCAGGAAAAAACTTTGTGTACTGTACAAGCATTTCTGCGTCCTGCACTGCCTGTACGCACCCCGGCCGTCTTGCAAGTTGTCGTCAATTGACAATAAGTCTACCGGGGCGAGTCGAACCGCTTCCGAAATACTGTACACATACAACAACCTGTAATGAGACGGACCCACATCAGTATCTTCCCCTTGACCTGTGCCTCAACCATACGTCGAAGAAAACCGAAGAAACACAGTACAGAATACTGTACCCTTGGGTACCGTACCCCTGTCGACTGCTAACTCCTTATTCTGCGTCATTTCACTCCACTTGTCCGTCAGAATCGCTCGAAGGGCATCACCCTCATGGAAAGCATCCTTCACTCACGGCACACCCACAATTCAACCTCACCTCCACGCCGCATACGGTATCGCTCCCCTCTCGAGCCGCCTACTCCTCCTCTCCACAACCACCCTTTTTATCCTCATTCCATAGTCCTCAAAGGCTGTGTCCTCTGAGAGGGAGAACGCTCGCAAGAAATCCACCCACAACACAACCTTCGCCCCCTCCCACGCTTGGCGCTCTCTACCCCATCGCATATTCCCCGCTAATGCAAGCAAAGTCAAACCCTTCCATCCTTATTCATGCTGTGGGTATCAAGGGTACGGTAATCGTTTTAGTCCGCACACTCCGCCATTTTTGCTTGGTCCGGAAAGTGGAAAACTTGAGCTTGAAACTAAAACTTGAAGGAAAAGTCTCCAGACTTTTGTCCCCTGCCCACCGGTTCACTTGGCATTGGCCAAAGCCCCTCTGTTTTTGCAATTTCCACTCCTGATGTCCTGGCGTGAGGATTGCATCCTTGAGCCACAAAATGCCGACTCCGCTTTGCTCGTTCTTATGATTCGACGAGGCTCCCAACCTTCACAGCATTCCAGGTCAGAAGCGGCGAGACCGCTCACATATGGCTATGAATACAACTCATATATGGCTAGTAGCACTGCTCATGCGGGGACAGCTCTCTCCAGACCTCAGAAATTCATGAGATTTCTGCCCTTTTTGCTGACTAAGCATTTCCGAACAACCACGCCTCCGTAATGGAATTAGGTCGCTCATCACGAGACGACTATTTGCATCCTGACAGCCACTCTGCCTTCCAGTCAAACCACGTTGGGGTACATTATTTTTGTCAATCTATCGTTATGGCAAGCAACTTCAAGTCACTGACTTTAAGGAAGCGTCAAAGAAGGGTATAATACGCGAAATGTAGCCCCCCGCCAGAGTTTTGCGAATCCAAACTGGATTGTGCACCACATTGCTGCTTTGATCACCTCAACCCCCGTCAGCAATCTTGCCTTTCGTACCCACGCGGGGTTTCGAGCGCTGCAGTCGCGATACAGCCTGTTCTGAAATAGAAACCTTACTTCGGCGCAGTGCCGTACTGTTGCGTCTATTAGAACGCACCGCACCGCATGTATGGTGTTAAAGAATAGAACACAACAGCAGTCTCGGAAAAGACAATGCATCTGTAAAAAAAGCAAGGCAAAGGCGACGTGCAGTTGGAACTTTATGTGCTCAATTCGCCTCTTCCGATTCAAATGGAATGAGATTATAAGGAGAAATATATCACAGCGGGAGTGTCCAGGTTGCTTGTCTCCTGACACGCAAAATACAGACTGTTCTTGCGAAGGCGTTGCGATGATGTGTTGTATGTTGTGGAGAAAACATAAGGTTGAGTAAAAACGCTTCTCCGATAGTGATAACATGCCTCATGCTTGTGCCAAAACTATATACACGCTTCTGAGGGATTGATGTCTTCGGTATGATGTAGAGTGAGAAGGCACTGTCTCTTGGGCTACTAAAGGATCGGATGAAATGCCTTGCTTGCACTGCGCTATTGACTCGGTTCTGTAATATATGAAGCACGAATAGATCTGGAGGATGTTGACGACGCAAACCGCTATATCAGTAGAGACTCTTTTCCGTCGTGCACGACGAAGGCCAATCCTAGCTCTCTAGAGCTAGCTAGTGTCTATCCGACCGGGGCTTGTTCTCATATGAGGACAGCTATTTTTTTGCAAAAATATATAAATTAAATTGAATATTTAAAATCTGTCTTGGACACTATTTCCTTAACGCAATTGTTTTCGGCAATAACCTCTTGCAGAACACCAGGATAGCAGCTTGAATACGCAGAAAGATTAAGAATTTAATGCATATTGAGTACATAGTTCCCTTTTTAACTGGCGTTTTTGGTATCGAAGTTATTTTACATGCGGTTTTAAGGTGGTTCAAAAAAACTTCTTTTCCAGACAAATCTAAAAACACTTGGGTTATGGGCTGGGCTGGCTGAAAACGAAGATGAACGACGGTAGGAGGTTACAAGTTCCTCTTCTTCTGTGTCGATGACGGGTCGTCATGAGAGTTTATTCATCATCGTATTCAGAGACGACATTTAATCTGAAGATAGATAGTACCTACGTCTCACAGTGGAGTTCAGCACCATGACAAATTTGCGTGGAACAGCTAATACGTCAAGACCTAATACTGTAGATTAATAGATCACGCATAGCAACAATACAAAAAACATAACAAAGATAAGTCAGCAGATAGACAGTCTACATACAGCTTTTCAGTCGCTGTTGCTATTGTACTTGAGCACGCTTGACACACAATCACTGTGCCATGTACAGAGGGTATCATCAACAAAGGCCATCGTCAGGAGAGCACCCTCGATACACATCAACAAAAACGACCAGGAAGAACATGCAATTCTCACAAAGTTCTTTCTGTCCTCAAGTCAGAAGTCAAGTACGGTGGCGGGAGTATCTTTTTCTTTCTTGTCGGGGAAGCGCAAGTCAAGAATATAATAGGTCGAATAGTGTCCTCATATGAGGACATAAGGTCCAATAGACACTAGTAAGACTGCGTGATTTCAACAATTCATGGCAGTCGTCGGCTCGGATAGTCGTGATTGAACTCAAAAGAATTAATAATCCGAGAGAAACCCAAAGAGTAGGAGATCAGGTCAGAGCTGAAGGTCAAGTAAGGCATGAGGTATCTCTGCAAAATGAATGGGCTTTAACGACAGATGGACACTAAGAAACAAGATCGTAGAGAACTAGAGAGGGCGGATAATAAGGGAGTAGAGAAGACGCGTCCCATGCCAGTTCTATTGTGAACCGCAGTGTTATCTATCATGTAAGAATTCCGAGAGGAGCTACATGCTACAGTACGGACTGTATTACACATGTATTACACATGATGCAAATGGTAAATACCTCACAGGACCGAGAAGAGGAAACAAGTTATATGGAGCTGGACTGTATGAGAAAAGTAAGACATGAGAATGTACTAAAGTACCGATGAGTTGGGATAGACTGGGACGGAACCCGACGATCCGGGAAGAACAGAGACAAAGAGAGGCACCAAACAGACATCACAACGATGAATATGACGGCGGTATTCCAAGTCTCAGAGGAAGAGCTTTAGATGCCATACGCTAAGTGCAGTGCGTACATGGCATCAGCGAACGATCGTTTTTGAAGAACAGAGACAACAGGATCACAGTTCTCGAAAAATTTACAAGACAAAGCACTGTGGCCTATGCAGTAGAATCACTGCACTATATCTGTATTGAACAGTTTCTTTAGGACAGGGATCTCGGCTTAAGGAAGCATGGAAGATTGAGTTGTGCGGGAGGTAACAAGCACGGTTGAAAACTATGTAGGTCTGTGAGCATTGTTGTGCATCGTTGTTAATAGAAGCTGTACATCTCTGTTTCTACCACGACGGAAGCATGCGTGAAGAGACAATGGACGCAGTACTTTGAGTTTTGGTTTTGACCTACATCACACTTTCTTCAGACAAACATGGCTCTCGCTATGGTGCCCAAAGCCATATACAAACAACGACAGCTCGGTCCACCTGATTCAAGAGTTTTGAACTTCTGTTGTGACAGGTGACACAGACGGAGTCGTACCTCTTCAGTGAGACCACGTGTCAGGTTTCAGTTTCGCTTGAGAAGCATTGAAGTTTCTTGTTGTTTGAAATTTGTGATGGACTGCGAGTTAGGAACGGGTCTCAACTTTCTCCTCCATATTTAACCCACCCCCGACCCCACACATCTGTGTCTGTTTATGTTCCACTAAAACCTGAAAACCAAAACATGGTTGCTTCACCCCGTTTGTTGCTATTGTGCGCTCTGCACTTTCTCCTCCATATTTAACCCACCCCCGACCCCACACATCTGTGTCTGTTTATGTTTCACTAAAACCTGAAAACCAAACATGGTTGCTTCACCCCGTTTGTTGCTATTGTGCGCTCTTTTTGCTGTCGCGCTTGCCGCTCCAGCACCGGTGTCCATTTCTCGCCTCCCCAAACGGCTCTCGCATCACTCCCGGAGCACGGGTCCGACTCTAAAAAGCCGTCTCTCGCACGACAACACAACCTCCCAGCCCGCACTGGTGAGGAACCTCGTTCAATCCCAAAAACGTAACTTGTTGCCTGGATCTCCTACCTCAAGTCTCCAGATTTCTGCGTTTTCCGTTCGTTTCACGCTTCGTGATGCCATCCGCAGCTTGGCGGCGGATCCCCGACTCAGTTTTCGAGAGTTCGACCAGTCGGCCCTATCACACTCTATTCTTCAGGACACTCGGGTACAGGAGAGCAAGCTCGCGAAGTACGACAGGAGAAAAGCAGCTCCAGTGGCAACCATAAAAGCTTAGGAGGCATCCCCCGTGATTCTTTGTCCGTAACAAACCGCGCCGGGCTGACCGGTGATCCGTACAAGTTCATTGGATTGTGATGGAACAAGGGCCTGCTTGGAATTGGATTTGTCACAATGTCTTGATTCCCAGAGGTGCTGGTGCGTTCCTCTGGTACCCATGGAGTGCTCTTCAAGTGAGGATTGTTTGGTCGAAGGGGAAATTTGTGTGGAGATCCCTGATCTAGCTCAGGTGTGTGGATCAAAGCAAGCTGCTAAGAATGAAGGTTTCAAAATTGTTGGTGACGTTTGCATAGACGCTCGAGCCCTCAATCATCTTCCCAAAGATCAACTCGTCTTTAGCAAGCATGCTGTATCTCGCGTTCTGTGTGATGAGTATGACAGCTGTGCCACAAGTGGTCATATGGTCGTGTTCCACGGACAGGCAGTGAGAATGAGCAAATATTGCGACTTGGTGGGGTGTACAGAGGCGGTGATGGAGGTGAACAGTGCTCGTTTCAGCCGTGGGATGCGAATCGAATCTAAGACGGAAGGGCTGGAGTACACAGTGTTTGCTGCTCGGTATAACACGCAAGTTGAGGAAAGCATGATTAGACTGGCTGTCCGGTTCGGGTTGTGATTGAGTAGGCTTTGTTTTTGATACATGTTGTATCATTTCTGGAGAATTGCGTCTTTTGAACGTACTCATGCATCTCTGCATTAAAGTTATCAAGGCCGCTGCAACGGGTCACCCCGTCTGCGGGGCCGACTTTCCCTCTCTGCTTTCCAATTCCGTCGGACTGACGTGCACGGTTGCCGTCCAGACGAGAACCATGGTAGCCCTTCGCCTACAGATCGAGATTGGCCTTGTCATGATTCCTATGTACAGCATGTACACCTGTAACTCGCACACACGTAACAAAGGTAGCAGCTGTGCGGGCAGCGCGGCGACCCTCGGCCGCCGCCGCCTTTTAAGATAGTATAGCTACGACCTGAAGACTGAGGCGCAGAGTAAATCTCCATCCTGATCCCACCCTCACCCAGCAAAACGGGGCATGTTAAGACACACCCTCTCAGGGTGTGTGAGTCGACATGACACAGCATATGCTTTCAGCCGGATAACATTACTGTCATACGGTCCTCTTGCAAGAGCATACTTGTATAGCGTGGATTTAGAAGTGGAATCGACTCTGGGTGCGTCGAAAATAGAAGCATGGCAAAATTGGGTGGAAACTGACCGTATCGTTTGTATGAGCAAATGGTCACCATTCTGCCGTCTAGTCGCGACACTGCGATCGAGATGTGCACGCGGAGCTCAAAGGAAACGATTTTTCAAGCCTTGAACATGCTTGCGACTTGCCGGAACAGCCCTGCACTGAAAGGTAGCCTGTAACTTGCCCCTTATTAAGCCATGAGTTTCCTGTCAAGACACTAATTCAGAGGCAACACCTGACCTCTGTGTTGGCCGCGTTTTGACGACACTGCTTAAGAGACGTCGACCACAAGAGAAGCACAAGCGTGCCGCCCTCCCCTCATTATTTTGTATGCTTGTTCTCAGAAGCGTGAGGTAGTCTTTTTGACCCATTATTCACGTAGATGGTTTCTCTATCAAGTTCCCGGGGGGTACTTTGATCCATCATGCTGGGACAACGGAACTATCGCAGGTGATTCCATGAAAAAGGCGAAGAGCACGTCAGCCAGGTGACAACGGAACCAACAGATTTAGTTTGGTCAGGATATGAACATATGGATCTTTCACGTAGGAGCAAGCATAATGGTTAAGGGACTCGTAAAAGATCTAGCGATCATGGACAAGAGTGGAGCAACCTGGTGGTCCTTTTTTTTCTCTCAGAAGACGGACATGAGTACAGAACCAACATCTTCTCATTTGCGACCATGGTTTGTACGTTGTGACAGAGGACAAGAAATGAAAACTTCAACGTAGGGGCTACTTTACAAATCTCTTTACGGACTACATATTCCAGAACATCGGGGGGAATGGACCTGTCAGACGTCGGCGGTGTCTTCTGCTGATAAAGAGCAGACGAAGTCGATGGCGCTTATTCTAACCGGAAGAGTTAAATCGGAGCTAGTCGAGCTCGCTAACAGTGGATGGCTTGATCGATCCCCACCCCGAGAGTCTGCAAAACCCTAAGCGATTTGCCGTGCGCCTCTTCTAATCCGCGTGCGACGGGCTACGGGTCCTACCGAGAGCGTCTCGGAAGACATGAAAGACAGAAACGCATATACATTTCCCACGGGAGCAGCCTTGGCTGATAGGGTGTCTGTGTACTACAATGTGTTGTAACGGTTAGAGCGTGAGCCCATGGGTGGAGCGTATGAGCGGATGCTCCATGTCAAATCACGCGATGCAAACAAAACGCACGGAGATCTACTCCATGGGAGGGAAGTCGGTGTAGCCCTCCGAGGTGAGCTGGTTATCCGCGCTGGTATACCACATGGACATGGGGGGAACTTCTGCGAGCGGCGCGTCCTTGGCGATCCTCTCAACGTAGTCGGGGTTGCTCAGGTACGGCCTGCCGATGGCGACGAGGTCGGCGTTGCCATCCTCAATTTCCTTGTCGGCCTGCTCGGGCTCGTACCCGACGTTGGCGACCAGCGTGCCCGAGTAGACCTTCCTGAAGTCCTGCATGGTCATCGGGTCGCCCTTCTCGTGGAAGCCGAAGCCGAGGCCGATCATGACGTGCAGGTAGGCCAGGCCGAGCTTGGACAGCTGTTCCGCGTAGTACAGGAAGCTCTCGCGGAAGTCGTCCGAGCCCATACCGTTGAAGACGCCGTTCGGCGAGATGCGGACGCCGACCTGGTCCGGCTCGTACACGGTGGTGACGGCGCGGAGGATGTTGTCCAGCACGCGGTAGCGGTTCTCGAAGCTGCCGCCGTACTTGTCAGTGCGGGTGTTGCTGGAGCTCTGCAGGAAAGTGTCCAGCAGGTAGCCGTTTGCGCAGTGGATCTCGACGCCGTCGAAGCCGGCGTCCATGGCCATCTGCGCGGCGTTCTTGAATTCGTCGGCGAGCGCGTCGACCTCCTCCGTGGCGAGCTCGCGCGGAGTCTCGACCTCGACGGGGCCGGGCTTCATGGTGTAGAGCTGGCCGGCGGACTTGCTGGGGCGCTTGATCGCGCTGGGAGCGACGGTGCGCGGGTCGTCGACGCCGTCCATGCCTTCGCGGAAGTTGCTGTGGCCCGCGCGGCCGGTGTGCCAGAGCTGGCAGAAGATGCGGCCGCCCTTGGCGTGGACGGCTTCGGTGGTGAGCTTCCAGGCGTCGGCGTGGGCCGGGGTGTAGATGCACGGGGCCTGGTACCAGCCGCGCGCGGCGGGCGAGGTGAAGGTGCCCTCGGTGATGATGATGCCGGCGGAGGCGCGCTGGGCGTAGTACTCGGCCATGAGCGGGTTGGCCGTGAAGGTGGGGCCCGCGCGGCCGCGCGTCATCGGGGCGAGCATGACGCGGTTGGCCAGCGTGTACGGGCCCAGGCGGACTTCGGAGAGGAGGTTGGGGTACGGCATGGCGGCGGGGCGGTGCGGATCGGGGATGCGGGGTGGGGTGCGGTCGGGGGGTGGCGGGGATGGAGCGGGGCGGGCTGGCGCGGGGGGTTAAGTAGGGAGGGATCTGGGGCGCGGCGGGGGCGGGGGAGGTGGAGCGGGAGGTGGAGCGGAAGGAGGTTGAGGTGGTTCCAGAAGCTGCGGATCGGGTACGTAAGGTGCGACGTCGGGGATGAGGCGATGGGGGCAATGGAGGTGAGAAGGCGGCGGGAAGAAAAGGGGTTCGCCACAGGCGGTGCGGTGATTGGGCCAGCGCAAGCGGGGTGGCGGGGGCATGACGAGTCATTTCTGTGGTGCGTTTCAGCGAGCCGTCCGTCCGGCGCGTGCCGCGGGCGCAAAAATAGCGCCTGCCATCACAGGCGCCCTGTACTGTCAGACACTGTACGGCGTACACTCCCGCTCCCCGCCCGCGCCACACACGTGTACGGCTACACGTCGCCACCTCCGCTCGTGTGCGCACTGGCACCCGTACACGTCGCCAGCGCCCGCCTTCTGCCACACGTCCGCTGTGCGACTTGGAC